TTCAAATATAATAAGCTACCATTTCTGGAAATACTATAGTAGACTGATGCAAAAGGTACAAGGTATAGTGTCGAAAAGCTTACCAGTTGCAGGCTTTTTCACCAGCTAGTCGCGTACAATGTATCCTTGACTGCTGCCCAGCTCCCATGCCAATCACCTGAACAATGAGTTTTAACGTCTTTCCAGAAATAGCTCACGAACCAAAGATAAGCTTGCCGCAGGCTATATATACCCCATAAGGGACACCTAAATGGCACCATCGCAAGTTTCACAACCTTGATGTGAGGACAACGCAGGACGTACCTGTCCACGGTGAGCGAAGCAGACCGTGTTTGACTGAGCGTATTTGAGTGCGACTGTGGCCACTATGAGATCATCGGTCGCCGCTTTGTTCAACTGGAACATCTTCTAGAATATCCGAGATAAAATGATCTTCACGACGTGTCATTGTAAATGAAGGAATTTTTGGAAGTTAAGGAGAGAGGTTTAACCACCTCGTGAGGATGCCGAACAGTTCATTTTCCACTCAGACCAACCAAAGTGCATTGGAGTAGGAAACACCTATTTTCTGCATTGAGCGTATGTTCGACACGTGCCTTTTACTTGAAAAAAGTCCTCGCGCTAGAGTAGTTCGTACGCCTCCTTTCTCCCACAAGTATTCTGGCCATCAGTCACTAAGATACGGTACCACTTTTGCGGCTTTACAGTTAGTAACGAAGGCGCTGTGGCCCTCAAGTTGCAGTTCTGACACCTTCCATGTTGTCCCGCCCACCGAATCTCGAAGGCTGTTTTCTGTCACGAGCCCAGTCCTGTCACAGCATTTTCCGATTTTTCACAGTTAGTTGGTATTAGCAGGGTATTGGATCACGAGAAGAAACGGTTACTGAGCCAGGATAGAGATGAATATCGCATTGCTGGCACAAAAGGAGGAGGTCCCGAGAACTCGACTAGGGATGCTGTCAGGTCCTCAGCTATTGTGTTCTTCAGCATTTAGCTACCACAGACTTTCAGTTAAACCCCACTATCCACAATATACCGAGGGGTTTGCCTTCAGG